TCTATTCTTCGCATATAATTATTGTAACCACAATTGAGTAATTTTGATACCCATTACCATTTTAGGTTCAATTCATTTTTTATTGTTATTATTTTTCTTTTTGATTTTGTTACGTTATTCTACTGGCAAAATATAATATTGCATTTTTTTATTGAGGGAGATTGTGATAGTATATGTAAGTGTAATATTATAAAAACAAAGATTGTAAACAAAATTTTTGAGACTGAAATAGCCGAATCTAAAGCATGCATTAAAAAAAATTAGAGAGGAAAGAGAAATAACTGAAGCTAGAAAAAAATAAATGGGTGACAAATATTTTCTCTATCTCTTTCTATCTCTTCATAGCCTACTCTTCTCTCTCTCTCCCTCCCTCTAACCGAATTCTCCTATTTCTATTTCGTTTATTTCATTTACCCAATTTTAATTCAGCATTTTTATTTATTCAGTTTTTCTATATTTTTAACTCTTTTTGATAATTATTTTTCATATAAAGTTTTAAAAGTTTTCCTTAGCTTATTGTTTACAATAAGTTGAAATAAGCAGGTTGAGACACTGTTGTTAGTACTGGTTTTTGTAATAGAACTAGAAATTCTAATTTTGGTAATGGTATGAAGGAAATGACGAATACTTTGTTTTCATTGTTATTGGTTTTCTTTTTTCTGTTTTGCATTATTTTTGGTTTGAATTTCAGTTTTGATAATTTAAAGTAACTAAATAAATTTTTTAAATACAAATATAGCCTGCAGCTGTCATCATACTACTTTACAGATATTGTGTATATTTGAATAATTATTAGTAATAATATTATTTTATTTTTTAAATATAAATTTTTTACATATATAGTGTATGGGCTGATGTTATAATCGGTGTTATAGAACGATTTTCCGGAAGTTCCAATAGTGGCGTAATTCCACTATTGTTACTATTGTGTTCTATTTTGATATGCAATCCATTACGAATCTTTTATTTTAAGGGACAATCTGATATATGACTTTTCTTTAGGTTTTAGAGGTGATTGACTTTATAGTAGATTATTCCATTCATTTTTTAATTATATGGATTGAATGCATGATGGAATGTACCAACAATAACTACTATCCTATAATTGTTAGTTTGCCCGAATGTATGCAATTTTATTCAAAATTATTTAAAACATTTGCTGTACATACATAGAAATCGGGATAATTTGATGTAATCATTCTAAAAAAGTTTCTATTCTAAGGAGTAATTTTTTTTCTTAGTAAAATCAATTTTCCGGAAAGTATAAAAAATAAAATTATTATTGAATTATGATTCTTCTACATTACAAATGTCTACCTGAATTCTAAATGCACTATTAGAATGTAAAAAAAAAGTTTTTAATGTTGCTTTAAGATTTCATGATAAAGTTTTGTTCTTTCATGATACCTATATGTACATACGTTATGCAGGCACATATGAATATATTATATATAATTTGTAGATTTGTATGTACAGAAACAGATGTGTAACCTAAATAGTGGGTAAAATAACAGCAAAAATTGCATAAGTGCAGTGATTTAATTTCTTGAATGTTTAAACACAAAAGCGTCATTTATTTTATTTATAAACTATACATGTCATATATGTATGTAAGTATGTACATAGCAATAAATTATGTACATACATATTGTATCATTTCAATGTAATATTGGTTGCGGCGGCGTTAGCAATATTGTGAATACAAATACAATTTTAATATTGCTGTTAATGCCGTGGGAACTTTTATTTTTGTTTTTTTGTTTTTTGGATCTCGTTAAAGTAAACGGCAATATTAAACGGAAAATTTACTTTTTTTCTCCCATTTTTGTTCATTTTTTTTCTTTTTTTTTTTAATTCGTTGTTTTTTTTTTTATTTGTTCTAGGGTTTGGTATTAAAATGAATGGATTAAATTCAGTTATTTACATTACATGTGCCTTTACTACTGCAATAAAAATGTGTAATAGTAAAATTTTAACAGTTAGGCTATACCAGTTATGTATACAGAAGATTTAGTAAGCACACTTGAATTAAATTAACAAATATAGTAGAGAGGTGAAATTAAGTAGTAAAGTTGAAGTAAATGAGCTATTAATTTTAAAGAAAATAAAAGCTATCAGGCATATTTAGGTATTCTTATATACAATATAATATGTTTAGTGTGTATACAATTTTGAACATTAAATTGAAAATGAAAATAGAAAATTTTTAAATTCAAGTAGGTAGTTCAGTCTTCAGTCCAAAATAATTATAATAATAACGCAAAATTTTAAAATTAGAATCACGATTTCATATTAGAATATTATTATTGAATTGCAAATTAGTTATTCGTATATATTCAATATTTCGAAAAGAATAAATAAAACTGAATAAAAATTATAATTTATGAATCATTTAATATGTATAAAAAAACATATTTTATGGCTTTATAAGTAAGTATCTCAAATATTGTTGCCTTCCTATGTGAATACTAAAAAAAATTTATTTTGTTTTAAAAATATATTTTTAAAAACTCATTTTAATGCAAAATTTTTTATGATAAATTCTAAATCATATACGTACTAATATATTCATACACACACACGCTGTAATTTAAATGTTATATTCAAAAACAAAAACTTATAAATCTTATACAATAGTTTATCATAAGAATCTTTGCATAATAATCTTTTGTACTTTCGCAAGGCATGTAAAATTTATATAGGATTAAATTTAAATAATTTTAGATTTCTTTGAATTTTAGATTTTTAACGAATCCCATGATATACAACTGCGATGTATATTGTGCAAAAAATTGAATATAAGGTTCTAAAGTAAGTCAGTTCTAATTTTTGAATAATTGAAAATAAATCATTAACCATATAGGAAATTTGTTATTAAAGTCTAGATTAGTATTTTTCAGAAATAGGTCTGTTTATAGTAATATGTCAACAATGTTCGAGACTATATCACACAATAAAACCAAAATAATAATACTTGTTTAACGCATTCTATAGGTCATTGTAGAAATTCTTATGCTTTATTTTTGAAGGTCCAATTTTTATTAACTTTGTTCGAAATTTGAGAGCATTTCGAAAATTTTATATCACCAAATTTTGTCAGACTTTTCTTCATTTTATAGAATATAACTGCAAATTCTATATCTCATTTTTTTTAATTCTTATATTTTCAAATTAGATTTTCTCATTTTAGTTCAATAAATCAATTAAAAATTCTAAAATAGATGTAATCGAACTTTTAACTTTCTCTTGAAAATTTCACTCTAAAAACATTTGGTGCTAACTCAGATTTTTCTCACCGGGCAATTAAAAAGGTGAGATACTGAATCTATATACACAATTATTGAAAAAATATTTATTGCTTTTACCTTTTTATTACTTTCTGTTTAGTTGGGATGGAAGTTTAATACCTTTAAAATTATTACAGTTGCATGCCAATTTACCATAAAACAACTGATAATCTTAAAACTCATAAATCACATAAAACTTTACAAAAAATTTTGAAAAAATTTTGTATTAAAACTTTTTTTGTTCGTAAGGTGAGAAAAGGTTAAAGATGAAAATCAATTTATGTAAACAAAATTTACTTATATTGTTATCAATTTTCTTAATTTGGCTTGATTTTCAAAAAAATAAATAAATTTGAGTCAAACGTATGTTATGTAACCAAACTTGTATTTATTACAATTTATTAAATTTTGTATATCATACTCGTAAATATCACTAAGTAGTAGTTGAATTCTAAATAAGAAATAAAATACTAACCATGTCAAACATAAATGATTTGAAACTCTGTTATCAAATTGTTAAGTACGAAAACTCTTAAATATTTCTGTATTTGGAAGGCAACTCTTCATTTATAATACCTCATGCACGTATAGCATCATATTAAGAACCAAGACTAAGATCACCTTTCACGCCAAATTGCTATTAAAGAGAATTATCATTGTGATATCCAACGATCCATCTAAATTACTGCTTTTTTTAAGAACACTTAAATGCTTAAAATTCTTATTTGACTAGATTGCTTTTTGCCAATAATAAACTGTTTTATATGGACTTAAACCTTATCTTAACTTGTGATTAAATAAATTAAATCACACCTGTTCATAATTTATGAACGTGACCGAAAGTTTTAATCCCTTTTCTAATTGTAGATCGAATCTTTTTCTATATTTGCAGCTGTAAAATTTGGAAATGTCTTTATGAATCGGTGATTTAATATAATATGATTATAAAATGATGCTGTATTTTCCACTATAGAGCGTTGAATTGAAATTTCATTGAATAAGTAAAAATTTCAAAAATAGTCAACTGCATTTATTTACACACCTCAGTTAGCAAACCACTTTTTTTATGCAATAATATGATCTCATATTATATACGTAGTGTTAAGTCAACAAACAATAATATTTGTGTTAAAAGAAATGTTTAATTATACTTTACTAAAATTAAAAGTATGATTTAATTGCTTTAACACATGTACATGCTAGCTAGAATGTTTTACAAAATTTTGTCATGATGATCTGATTTAGAATTTTAAAGCGTATTGTTTTGTAACATTCAATTTCCTTTTGCTTTTTATTACAAATTTTATTCGAATTTTAGCTTTTGACGATTCAATGAAAACTTTTGACTTCAATTTGTCATTTCCTTGACAGCTTATGCACTTTGATTTGAAAGCGTATATAATCTAATTTACAATAAAATCAACATTTATTTAGAAAATAACAATGAACAAAAATTACATTTTTAAATGCAATTCGTTTCAATAACGACATTCCTATTCAGATTTAAAATTTATTCAACAGAATCATCAGATTCAATCAATATTATCTTACATAATCATCATTATACGATCAATTTACAATCGACTATGTTATGTTAAAGGTTATAACAAAGTTGTATTAGGAATTTTGAATATTTTTTTTTTATAGAAAACAATTAAAAATTAACAACTTAACTAATATTATGTAATTTTCTTTTTTTTTGTGTTTTTCCAGGTTCACGATTGGTCAACAGATTTCTGTGATGGTACACATTTATGTGCTTTAGTTGAAAAACTTCAAACAAAACCATTAAAACCGTCATGGAATCGGCGACCAGCAAATCAACATCATTATTTAGAGAATGCAACTACAGCACTAAATGCTATCGAAGCTGATCATATTAAACTTGTTAATATTGGGAATGTTGATATAGTCAATGGAAATATTAAACTAATCTTAGGTTTAATATGGTCTTTAATTGTTCGTTATCAAATAGGTAGAAGTAAATTCCCACCTAGAAAACTTATGTTAGCATGGCTACAAGCTGCTTTACCTGATTGCCGAATAGCCAATTTAACAACTGATTGGAATAGTGGTGTTAATTTAGCAGCATTATTAGATTATTGTGAACCAGGTTTATTCCCACATTGGAGGAGTTTGGATCCTAGTCAAAGTGTTAGAAATTGTACAAACGCCATGGACATAGCACAAAGAGAATTTGGTATACCAAAAGTTTTAGAACCAGAATATTTAGCATCACCTTGGCTTGATGAATTATCCGGTATGACATATTTATCGTATTTTATGAAACCCGGTGGTCCAGGCTACAATGCAACAATGAGATGGGTCAATACACAAGTTAAAGATAAAGTTACGAATTTTACAGTAAGTCACATTTATTTTATTACGAATGCCTTGGTACAATAACCTTTCTTACAAAAAAAAAAAATTTTTCTTATTTATAGACTGATTGGAACGACGGCAAAGTATTTTGTGAAATTATAAGAAATTTAGGCGGATCGGCTCCAGCGCCTGAAAAATTAAGTGTAGATCCATTTCACTATGAAAACAATATTAGGAAAGCAGTTGAAGCTGGTAATAAACTTGGTGTTAAACCGGTTTTAACACCAAAAGATATGGCAAATCCAGAAGTTGAACACCTTGGCATAATGGCTTACGCAGCTCATTTACAGTGGGTTCCACCAAGACCTCCACTTTCTGATTTAATTAACGTTTATTTAGAAAGCACTTCTGGTCGTGTTGGAGAACCAGTAAGCCTTAAATTCTTGCAAATAAATAACGAAACTGTATACATGACTATTTTTTTCAATATTTTAGGCTCATTTTCGTGTTGATGTCTTGTCACGTGAAGTCGACATACACTCTGTTAGAACTTTCGTTGTTACACCATCTGGTGTAACACATCCAGTTCGTCTTAACAAACATGGAGAAGGCGTTTTTATTCCGGAAAAATATGGCATGCATGAAATAGTTGTAGAAATTGATCAAGATCAACTAGGTGGTCACTTCTTCCGTGTTTTGCCAAGATTTATTCAAGTACCCCCACCTGGTATGGCTCCATGTGCCTTAGGAAGTTTAGTTGAAGTATTAGTTAATGCTACTGGTGCACCAAAAACTGAGGATATTTTAGTAACTGCTGTTAGTCCGACTGGGCGAGCTCATAACTGCCCGCTAAAAAAAGTTGAAGAAGGTCACAGTGCCATATTTAAACCAGATGAAGCTGGTATTTGGGAGATCGCAATTACATATCAAGGCCGACATATACAAGGTGGTCCATTTACTTGCGCAGTTTTCGATCCTGAAGGTGTTTCAGTGCATGGATTAGATGGTGCTATGCCATTAAGAGCTCATGCATTTGAAATAGATGCACGTGGTGTAGGTGTAACTGGTGAACTTCATGTTGACATTGTGCATGATAAAAGATCACTTGTTTGTTCTGTTGAAAAAATTCTTGAAAATAAATATCGAGTAACTTTTATGCCAAGGCAAAACGGAAAATATCGGGTCTATGTTTATTTTAATGGTTATGATGTTAAAGGATCGCCATTTATAATGAGAGTTGGAACCAAAGGAAAATCTGGAAAAACTAGAAGTAGTCCAATGCACGACAGTAAAATATTTGTGATTTTTGAATTAACTATGATTTTATAACATAAAATGTTTTTAGGTAAACACCGTTCTGAAAGTCCTTCAATGCATTATACAACAACAACCAATAAACACAACGACTTTAGAACGGCCAAAAAGGAGCTTTATAATAGTGAACGAGAGCGGTCGTATTCACCATTATATCCTACTTCTTCGAGAACCGAACATGATGGGTACAAATCGAGTAGTTTTTATTCAACAAAGAGAGAAACTGAGGTAATGACAACATTAAATAATCTGCTATCACATTACGGATAAATTCGCAGGATTTTCAAGGGTGCTCTTTAACATTTAAACATTTTTATATATTATAGCAGTAAAACTAACCTTAACACATCAATTCACATACTTTTTCATGTATATACGCTATGCACTTTTACATTTTCCACTATTTTAAACACGAAAAAAAATCAAATTGAATTTTGAGCTTTCTGCAAAATACGTATTCAAAATTTCATTAACAAACAATTTTTTAATTTGGAATATTTTCGAAATTCACTGTATTATACACACAGGTTCATTCCCCAAAATTGGCATCAACACCTACACGTGACATAATGTCACCATCAAAATATGGCACAGAAATTTATTCTTCATCTACTAAAAAGGATGTTAATAAACATAATAATACCCACACTACTACACCAAATAAAAATGATTATTATTTTGAAAAAGAAAACGATTTAATAAAACAACGAAAAAATGAACGAGATATTACGTTAAGTCCGCCTAGAGACTATAACAGTCCATCGAAAACATTTAGCAATAGTTCCAATACATCGAGTTATTTGATTAAAAATATTAGTGAAAATTTTTCCTCAGCGACAGGACACAAAGATAGTCCTGTCGCTAGCCCAGTTAATGTATGACTATTATACTTAGTTATATAAATGTGCAAAGTAACATACAAAAATGCTACTTAGCAAGCAATATCCATTCTACATTGTTAAATTGTAAAGATAGTTTTAAAATTTTAAATTTTAGATTCGTTCCAGCCCTGTGGTACACCAAAGTCCTCTTACTATAAAATCAACCAGTCATTATGAAACTAGTTCAAGAAATGTAACATCAAGTCCTAGAAATTTATCAACATCACCATTGCCGAGGTATTATAATTCATCACCAAGTAATTATACAACAACGGCAACACATCGTATATCAAGCCCATTAACAGTAAATAGAAATACAGATAACATTGAAACCGTAAGGCATGTTGAGAAATCGTATAAAAGCTCTTCAAACTATATTAGTGAATCAAATATTCGTGCGAGTCCTCTAATGAGTTCAACTACAACAACATCGTTAAACCGTAGAACTACTAGTCCAGATCCAATTGTTGACCATTCATCAAATGTTCGTGTTTCTTCTATTAAACCAGCGTCTTCACGTCGTGATAGCTGGGATGTTATAAACAAAACGAAACATTTACTTTCACATAACTCTTTAGAATCGCTAGCGAATATGACTGAACGGCAATTGAATACAGATTTATCATATAACCGTCCAGATATTGACCATGAAACGCATAAGAATACTCAGTACAATAAATATTCACTAATATCATCACTGGGAAGGCGGGGTTCAGATGATATAGACAATATTAGGTATGTTAATTGCTTTCAATAGACATTAACTTGAAAATATTTTTATTCAATTTGCCCCTTTTGCTTTTAGATCCGGTGGAGTAACTATTAAACAAGCTGATAATTCTTATGGTTCACGTAATAATTATACAACAACAATTAAAGAAGAAACGAAACGTACTGTAACTGAACGTACCGGTACTGGCAATAATTACGGGACAACAACTGAACCAATTTATTCAACAAGGTTTCGTCCAATAGATAATAATGCTACAGGTGCTAGAGCTATCAGAGTTCAAGATATACCTAATGGATCAATGGGTCGTCCAGTTGAATTCGAAATTGATGGATCAAAAGCCGGTTCAGGAAATTTAGAAATTTTAGTTAATGGTGGTCGTGTTACATCGTCCGTAAGATCTTTAGGTGGTCAACGATTTGTTGCTAGTTTTACACCCCATGAACCCGGAACACATACAGTGCAGATAACATTTAATGGAGACACAGTGCCCGGTAAGTTATTCTTATATATATATAGATTTTTTATTAAAAGTCTTGATATCTTTTGGCTTTAATTTATTATACCTTGAAAAATTCGTCAGTAATAAGTTTTTAATATTTTTTAATTTTACAAAAAACGATGACATATTTTATGAAATTATTTATCATAATCAATCAGAAAATTAAAAAAAGAAAAGAAAATAACTCCCACGAAAAATTTAAAGCAAAATATCGTAAGAATGTTAAATGTAGGTTGATTTCTTAAGCTCATATGTTTTTCGATTTAAAATCAAAATTCTTCGTGTGAATAAAAAATAATTATGAATAAATGTAGTTCTATATAGCTAGTTACCTAATTAAGAATTATTTGAAGGTAAAGAATTTTTTGAAAATTTCATCATTATTATTTTGAATCTTTACGAGAATCAAATTTTTTTTTAAGTATGCGGGCAAGAATACATTTAATTCGATTTAAATCGTGTAGGTAGACTCATACTTTTATTTGTGTCAAGTTTTAATTAGTTATTCAAAAGCGAATTTAATTTTTAATTAAATCTGAAAAACTAAATAAAAAAAGGACTTAATGAAATCATTGCGAGCAGGCAAATCCGTTTAATGATATAAGCATTGCAAGTAGGCGAATATTTATTTCTGCAAGCAGACTATTTTAAAATTTTGCAAAATCAAAAGATGATGAAACCAGACATTTAACATTTAAGTTAACAACTGTAATAAATAATTAGTAAATTTTATTTATTTTAATTTTTGTTGTCTTTCACAAACATTCCAATAAAGGAAACTCAAAAAATTATGTAACTACTTAGATAATGTACCTAAATTTTCAAAATTCTACTTTACATAAAATTGCATATATTTAGGATGAGCATCAAACATATTTTTCTACCAGTTGTTTCCAAATTGTTACACAATAATGTTTTAAGCTATAAGCAAATCGTTAATTCAAAATTTTGCTATTGGTAAAGGAAAATTGAAAAATACTTATATTTTAAAGAAAAATCATAAAAATATATAAATTTTCACAATGTGTTAATATTAGATCGCATAATTTTATAAAATTTTTCTCCTTTAAAATTCTGTTCACACGCCTGGTTCGTAAAGAATTAATAATAATTAATGGAAAGAATAGCATAGGAAAATATTTAATAATATTTCGGTACTTTAAATAATTTTATAATAATAAATTTTTTTATAAAACATGTAAAATGTTGTAAGCTTTTTAGGAAAATTGCAATAATTTTAATATAAAAAATTGCATATACATATTCAAATACCAAGAAAACACGAGCTCATTAATGCCTCATAATTGAATGGTAAATAATTTTGGTATCATTCACATTTTTTCGGGAGTTTATTTGAAATGTTGCATTTCTAATTGAGCGAAAATTAATATCGAAAAAAAAAATATGTCTCGTAATAGATTTGTATGTTTTAATTTAGATCATGCAAAATTGGATTTTTGAATTTTTGCACCGTTGGAAGTCCAAAATTTATGATTTTATTTAACTTCAATTATATACATTTATAATTTAGTAATATAAATTTAATATTATAATTAAATCTAAATTACAAATAATGACCGCGCGTTTGTGCTTTTAACACTATTTAGAAAAAGTTCAAAGTAATAAAAAATATGTTAATAATCTTAATAAATGCTTAAGTTAAAAGCCAACCGCAAATAATGTAGTTCAAGGCTAAAATTTTATATGCTCTCCATTTTAATTATTCAAACTATAAAATATAAACTTTATCAAAAGAAGAAGCAACAATTAAAAAGATTTCAAAAATTTCTTTCGAATGCTCAAATGAAAGATCAAAATATAAGATTATTATGAAAATATATTATGGAGATGCTATCGTATTTTAATTTAATTTTAAGAAGAAATATTCATAAATACACACACATTATATATTTGTAATCACTTATCATACATATATACTTATATGTATTTAAATAATATAAACGTGCAAGGTAAGTACAACTATATATTTTTGTATAACTTTTATTTACAAATTGATACTAACAAGTACTCGTATATATTCAATTTCATATAAACACTGACAAAAAATTTTAATATTATTTTTATATTGTGATGATCACGTCAATCATTTTTATATAGTAAACAATCTCTCTCTTTATATTGCTCATGATTCATGAATCATGATCATAGCTAAATTACATACACAATATTGTTCGTTGTTAAAATTTTAAGAGATACTAGAATTAACAAAATTTCCCCAATGTAAACAGTTATAATATGTCTTAAATTTTCCTCTATTTTCTTCGTTAAATACGATACCAACGAAGATATAACAAAAAAAAAAAAAATTATTTGTACTATACGATTTAAACAAATTAACAGTTAAAATGCAGAATTGCTTCGTTAAATAGTTATAGTATATATGTATAACATTTATTTTTTTGTTTGAATTTTATCTTATTTTTATACACGTAGTGTAAACGTTATCATTTTCTCTTAAAATGTTGTGAGAGAATAAAAACATGTTTTAAAATTCTACTCACTGATATTAAATTCTCTCGAATTTCCTAAGAAATGTGTTTAAATTTTTTTTCAACGAATGATTATAAAAAGATATTAAACAATATTGCCGTACTGCTTTTATGGTAATTAAGTATAGAGAATCTTAAAAATTGTCTCAATAGTGTTGAAACAGTAAGTTTTTTTAATATCGTTAAAAAAACACAAGATAATAGCATTAACTAAATTTGTAAAGTAGGGATGGTAATATTACTATTAAAGTATTTGTTACATTTTTATGAAATATATTATTATACAAAATAAAAAATGTTACCTTCGCAAACTAATAAAATATAAAAACTGTTATGTAAACTAAGAGTGTCATTTTAAAAACATTTTTTTTTTCTCATCGAAGCTACTTACATGCCATTCCTTGGCAACCCATAGTTAGTTATGTGTTTTACCACCAAAACCTCCTCTTTATATTCTGGTACTAGTGCCCTTAGACCAACCATCAAATTTTCTTTGATATAAATTGAAGAAGATTCAACGCTCCCCGATTTGTTGAAGCGCATTTTGCGGTAAATCAGAAGCAAAGTCCTCTTTAGCCTTCTGAAAGAATCCCGGATAACAAGCAGCCGAGAGGCCTCTATATTGAGATGTTGCTCCAGATGAGCTCTGTGTCTCATCGCCTTTTCGTTAATTTCGTCAACTACATATGGAAGTTTTAGATCTCTGTACAAATCTCCATTTCGCACATACCAAGGGGCATCCACCATAATCCGTAAAACCCTATTCTGGAACGTTTGTATTCGCTGGACATGTATTTGTTTGGCACATCCCCACTTTTTACATGTATTCAACATTTTTACATGTATTCAACCGAAAATTAAAAGTGCCTCACTATTGTACTATTTGTTTGCGTGAAAAATTGAATGGGTATCAAATAATGCCGAATTTTCAACATTAAAAGGTCACAAACAATTCGAGTAACATTTTTCTACGTGAACGTGAACCTATTATATTTTTTAAATTTTGATGTGTTTTTTGAAATTTCCTGTGGAACAAACCTTTTTAAAATTTTCTCTAAAAAAAAAATTAAAAATCACATTCCAAATCTCATTTTTTCAATCAAGTAAATGTCATAATAAATTTATATAACAATATTTAAAATCTTGTATTAGTACAAGTTTAGTCAATGTTTTAAAATTTTTAAGAGGAATATTCAAAATATTCAAAATCCAATAAAATAAATTACTTATATAAATCTACAACTAACATAAATCGAAAATGGGAACTCTAATATTAAAGTGGTTTTAAAGGGCAAAATTCAAATTTAGAATTTAAAATAAAATTAACAAAGGTTCCTACCACTATCATGCAAATTTAAAAACTACATTCATACGAATTTTGCATTTATATCAAAATATATATATAATAATAATAGTTGTTGTTGTTTCTTATTCTGAGAGCAGGTATTTATATATACACCGTTTTCAAAAATATACTGAGAGTAAAATTAGTAAGATACCTACCTAACCTTACTTACCTTTATTAAATTTGTTATTATTACTATTTTTTTTTGTTTTTTGTTATACGAAAGTAATATCTAGAGAAATATTTTGTTATTGTATTCGGATTCGATAAAAATTATGTTTATATTTTCTTTAGTCTGCGTTGTTAGCTCTTTCAAATCGGTTCGCTTAAAATTAAAACGTTAAAAAAAACGGTCGCGTATCGCGTTTTGTTATACTTACCTTTCTTTTTTATTTTGGTTTTGTTTTTTTTTTTTTTGTTTTTATTTGAATATCTTCAAGAATCGCATCTTTTTTTTATTGTTTTAAAATAATAATAAAAAAGAAAACAAAAACACGTTTCGCGATTATTTATATAACTTTTATACTACAAATATAAAAAAAAAAAATAGTATAACATTAATAATATGTGAAAAAATATGTGTATTTGCCTATATATAAGTTATATACATAAAAGTACATAATACATCCATATATAATAATGTATTTCTAAAAAAAATAAAAAAAAAACCGGAATTTTAGAAAAAAAATATTTTTTTTTAAATAAATGAATTATTTTACTGTACCTCTAGACAATTTTTATGCAGAAAAAGAAGAGGAAAACTTGAATAGTTTTTTTCTTAATTAATTTAAAATAATATTAAAAATATTTTAAGTATTTGAAGTGTTTTAATTTTTAAAAGGTATATTTTTTTTTAATTTTATTATAAGTAATTATAATTGTTTTATGAATATTACCTTTTTATGCTAACTTTCTTTTTAAAATTATAATTTTAGTCTGTGAATTACAATTTTGAAATTAAAATCAAAAAACAAATAAAAATATTACAATTTAAAAGAGAAATAACAATTAAACATTAAAGTGTAATTTAATTATTAATTTTTTATATTCATAATTAAAATGCCAAAAGATATTTTGAAAAATAATATTAAAACAAAAACCTGAAAGGAGAGAATTGAATGAAAATGTTTTCATACT